TAGGTGATAAAGTGCTGTTATATAACTCTAAATTGCATTTGTTTCCGGGCAAGTTAAGGTCTAGATGGCTCGGTCCCTTTGAAGTGTTAGAAACCTCCCCTCATGGTGCTGTGGTAATTAGAGATTTCAATACTAATAAGATTTTTAAAGTTAATGGTCATAGATTGAAGGTGTATCACCAAGGTGAACAGGTTGCTAAGGTCGAGGACATCTTCCTCGAGGAGCCATGAAATGAGGCAGTAAAGTCTAGCCGGGACTACTAAACAGGGCAGCTTTCTGGGAGGCAACCCAGCACAATAACAAAAAAAAACAGGCATTTTAGTTACATTTAAGTTTTCTTTTATATTCAGTTTTTTTTCTTTTATTTTCTTTGCATACTCCTTGCATTTAGTTTAGGATCATTTTAAGCTTTCATTCATTCAATTAGCATAACATGCCCTGAGGACAGTGCATAGCCTAAGTGTGGGGGTGTGCAGCTGTTTCTTAGCACTTGGATCCATGAAACCTTTAGTTTTTTTTAACTAAAAAATCTGCCTTTTAATTTGAAAAAAAAGCACTGATTTGTTTTTAAACAAGCTGCAGTTGATTTCATTCTAAATCATAAGGAAGGGTATAGTTTTATAAGAACATATTTGGCACCAGGAGTTATAAATCTGATTTTCAGACCTTAATACACTTCTGCATCTTTAACTTTCCTTATACCATGCCTTGCACAGCTGCATTCTTGGTGTTTCTGAAAAAAAACTGCAGTTTCTTTTTTGAAGAAAAAAATACAGATTTGCAGCTTTTGAAAAAAAAAAGATTTTTTAAAAGAAAGAAAAGAATTTTTGGACTCTTCATACCTGACCACTTTTAAAATAAAGTGTTTGCACCATTTAAGAGGAATAAAACTGGATCAGGAGAGGGAATCGTGTGAAGATTGAATTTTTTTTTACTTTCTGGAGCTGCCTGGTTTATGTTAATGCTTCTTATTGGCTCAAAATTTCAGGAGTTTTAATTAAATTTCTCACAATAATAGTCTAAGTTCTTAACTTAGAAGAATTTGTTTAACCATCCAATTATATTAGTTGTTCAATCTTTAATTGTTTAATCAAGTAGAATGCTCCTTATTTAATAATTTTCCTCTCTTGGTTAGTCACATAACCAATTTTTGGTCTAAGTTACATTCATGCACTATTACTCTCAAAAGGATCTGCCTTCTATCTTCTATCCATCTTCTTATCTCTCCATGCTAAGTTTCTGAGTAAAATCTTAAGGATGATAATATTTAGCTAGAACTGGTAAAGTAGTTCTTCTAGAGGTTCTGTCTTTGAAGGGTTTTTTATTGATTTAGTTGAGGTCTGATACATCAATGATAGCCAAGGTTGAACATGGACTTGTCTCCATGCTAGCTTGATATGCATGCACTACCGTTGGGGGGGGGCCTAGTATCGCATCATTAAACAACACCGGTGGATACGCAAGCTCGGGCATGTATAGCTTGGTAGCACATTTGCCAAAAAAAAACAAAAAAAAAAGAACTTCATCGAACAAATCTGATCTGGCCTGGGGACATTTAGCCGCATTGCCTGTGCAACGAAGCATGCCTTAATGTAGGATTTAGCCTAGTTGTCCACCATGTTTGGCCGAACAACGCTTGAGTAAGTAAGTGATGACTTCCTAAATTGATCACGAATTCCTTTTCTTTTTCTTTTTACTAGCTACTCTACCTTACTCTAGCTAATTTTTTCATCCTTAAGTGACTTATTCAAAGACACTTCGTTTTCTTTTCTTTAAGACCTTGAAAGAATAGTTTCAGTGAATGTCATTTAGAATTAATCCTTGATTATGCTACTGATTTGGGAAAGGAATGTTCTTAAACATGGAGCAATCTAAGTGATTTAACAAGTTTTGCTTGAATAAGTCTTCTAATTGAATGTTTAAATAAATCTCTCTTAAGTTAATGGTTGGGCTATTCTTGTTAGAAATTTAAGGAAGATTCTGTGTCAAGTTGAGCCAATATTAAGTTTTGACAGGGTCATACACCTCCAGCAAGTTCAGTTTTGAGAAGTAAAAGTATAAGAATCTGTCTGTTTTATCTACTTTGCACGAGGGCGTGCAAGAAGCTAAGTGTGGGAGTATTTGTTGAGTCCAAAATATTCACTAATTATTCTCTACCAAATCAGTATTTTCGGGCATTAAAAAGTGTATTTTTACACTTAAATGTTCATATTTGCATTCTAGGCATCATTTATAAAATATGTTCATAATGCACACTTTTCAGTTTATTTTTGAATATTATTGTTGTGGACCCAAATTCTCCTTGACAAAGGTTATTAGATATATCTTTGGAGCATGAAGTGTGGGCTGAAATTGTGAAAGCAATCCAGTTGGGCTCTACCCGACTTATGGTTTCAAAGGAAATCCAGGCCCAAGATGACAAAGCCCAAAGGTCCACCTCAGAAGTTGAGAGAAGCTGCGTAAAAAAGGAGAAAAAGAGAGAGAGACGTGTGAGATAGAAGAGCTGAAGACTCCCTCTCCTACATTGGGTCGGCCTCTTCAAGCATAGCTGGAGCCGGAGAATCCGCAGCAAGAATTGTAGCGCACAAGGAAGTCCTAATCGAAGACGGAAGAGACGAAGAGCACCTATAAATTAAGGGAGGGCTGCGAAGAACTTCACCACCACCAATCAAGAAGAAAATCAGAGCTAAAACCAAAGGGTAATAACCCTAGGGGGTTCGGATCTTGCATCCAAAACCCCCGCTGTTCTTTTCTTGTGTTCATTTTTACAGTTTTTTTTGTTGAACTTTAGTCCCCAAATTGAAAGTGTTTCTTTTGAATTGTCAAGATTATTGTTGAAGGTTTGCTTCTGGTTATGATAAAGTTTTATTTAAGATTAAGTCCAGCCTTGCAGAACTAGCTTCGAACCACCTGGACATTTCTTTAAGTCCATGTTGATTTACAAGTTTAGGCTACTGAGTTTCATTTTAAAGTTTGCTGCGGTTGGTTATTTACTACTTGGGAACATGATTTCCATTTGGGTGAATTCACCCAGTAAGGTTTTTTCTTCATTTTGAGATAACCTTAAGGTTAAAGCTAGGATTTTTAAAGGAATGCTCTGCACTTTTAATTCTTCTTGGTTTGAGAGTAGGTTGCAGTAAAGAAACAAGCTGGTTGTAAGTTAAATGAAGCAAACTTTCAAAGTAATTTTTGTTGTCTTATTTAGGATCTAATTTTGTCAAAAAAATAACATTTGAAACCAGAATTTTTGGAAGAAGTATTGAATCCTGTTGTTTAAAATTAAATCTGTCTATGGGTTTAAACTTTTACTTCAAGTTTAATACTTCTAAAATAATTCAAGTTATGCTTCTGTTAAATTAAATCAAAGGTGTTTGAGAACTATTTTTCAATTGATTTTACTTAAGTTGGGTCAAATTAGGATCGCGACCTAATCCAATTTAAAATGATATTCTTTTAAAGTCCAAAGTGCTTTAAATACGGCTTGAAAAGATCTTTGGTTCACAGTGAACTAATTGGATCCGACGGAGCAATTCACCAAAAACGATTAGTTCCAAGAGTTTGACTAAAACAATTTATTGGAACGTGTTACTGCAAGATTGTTACGGTGATGTTTTCCACAAATCTTAATGCACTATTCTTAGTAGTAATCTAAGGGTTGGTCTTTGGGTTGCTAAGGATAGTAGGGTTTAGAGTTAGGGTTGGTCCTAACATGAGCTTTTATGAATGGGAAAATAGGAAAGAACCGTTGGTGGACCTCTTTTTCAGCCGGACCCTTGTTTTAATTTAAAGTTGGTTGATGATTATGCTAGATTTTATCAAAGTTTTGATCCTGGATATTTATTTTCTATATTATAAAACACTTTGTTGGTTTTCTAAAATTGTTTAAGTCTCTAAATTATTGTGTTATGTGTTTGTCTTCTTTGTTTGGGCTTCTTGGGGGAGTTGTGTTCTGTTTTTATCCTTGGTTTGTTTCGAGATTTGTTTTGGTGTGGTGTGTCACTTTAGTTAGTTTTTTTACTTTATTTAGAAAACACTTTTTCAAACCCCCCCCCCCATCTTTTAATTCAGTTTATAGATTTTAGATAGTTATTTTTACTCAATAAAAAGTGACAAAGTAAACCGATTTTCATAACCTGAAAAGCATCTTTCCTCGTGGGATCAACCCTTACTTATCCTATTTACATGTTTAATAAATATTATTTTAACAAGGAGGAACTAAGTAAAGGAAAATATTAAATTAATTTTTTAGGTGCTACGACACGCCTATCATCATTCAAATAAATATGTAACAAAACTTTAATTTTGGATAAAAAAAGAATTCATCATTGTTCGTATTTGGGATCATATATTATAAGTTTGGATATATAATGTTATTTTATATTAAGTATATATAAATACATTTTAAAGTCATTATTGGAAAAAACTAGAAGGAGTTGCAAGAAAGTGGAAAGAGTTGAAAGAAACTGAAAGGAGTTGGAAGAAGTTAGAATTTAAATTTTTCTAATCCTAAAGAACATGACCTTAATATGATACGGACTACGTATCGGATAGGGAAGACTCAGAGCGTGCTCAGAGCGTCTTCGAGCTCTCTTGAGAATATAGGACGAGGAAGAAGAAGAAGAATTGAAGCGAAGAAGGAATCGGCGAACCGAGAGGGGAGAAGGAACTAGGGTTTTGAGTTGTTTATTGATTGATTTACTCTAAAGGGGGTTACATCTCCTTATATAGGGAAGAAGGAAACCCTAACGCTAACATGACGGTTCAATAAAAGCGACGAGGAAAAAAACCGTAAAGAAACCTCGAAGGAGCTTATAATTCCGCTCACCTAATAAAACCTAAATTACATTAATAATAATAATAATAATAATAATACCATCAAATATCCTACCCATTCATAACACTCTCACCCCCTTAGAAAACAACCTTGTCCTCAAGGTGGAGGCTCCCACTCATGCTTCAAGACTGGAGAGAAAATGTTGACCCAAAGATTATGTCCACTGGATGATAGATCGTCATTAAGCCTGCAAATTGGAATATAAAGATGGACATAATAGAGAAGAGCAAATACAAACTTAGCTACCGGTTGTGAATCCCAAAACTCGGACTCCACTATATTCGCATGGGCAGGGGATTGGATGATATCAAAGGGCAGTGAGATGTCTGCTTGCGTATAATTTACATCTGTTACTTGGGCTGTTTTGGACGAAGGCACAAAGCTACATGCGATGATGATATTGCTCAATGTTGGATCCTTTGCAACTTCTTCATTACCCGGTGCAATTACGTGTGTATCAACAGCTACAAGATCTGATGGAAAGGCATTAACAGCATCTTTAACAAAAATACCATCATCATCAATTTTGGGAATGTTCACTAAATCAACAATAGTGTCCTCAACAGATTCCATGCCATTAGGTGTGGTGTTGTGTAGAATGATTGTAGGAGTTAGATCTGGTGGAGCAAGTGGAGCTCTGAGTAGGTTCCTTATAGCGTTCATCATCCTTATTTTGAAACCTTTTAACTCCAAGGGAATAGAACTCAATGCCATTGGAGTACCACGCACAAAATCTTGTATCGAGCAAGAGATTTCCACATTGAACGCATATAACTCAAAATCAGAATACGGTAGATCTAAAAGATGACGAAATAGGTGGAGCGTCTTCAAAATTTCATCCACATGATCATAAGCTATACAGATTCCGCCAAGAGACTCAAGTCTTCCATAAAAGATATTTTTCAACACACCAAGAAATGTATTCAAAGCTATACAGACTCCGTCAAGAAATTTATTCCTAGTTCCAATTTGCTAGGAGGGTTGCTTTTCGCTTGGTAAAAGACATTATATTTGGGCCGCATCACAAGTAACAATAATTGGGATCCTCTCTTTGGCCTTTGTCGTGTAGGTTTTCAGGTAGCCTAACTTTGAGCATATCTTTTGTTACAATCCTTTTTTTGCAATTAGGGTTGCTATCCATCTTGCTCCAACTATGAAGCGCTCTGCGGATACCAAAATTAGGTAGGCCGCTACACTTGATGGCTTGAGCAGGGCACCGATTGGATCTGGTGCGGTAGAGAGTACCTTGAGCAACTCGGCAGCAACAATAATTCAGCGACAACAATCTGCAGCGCTTCAATTTTTTTTGTTTTGGATTTTTTTTGTTTTGATTTTGTTTTGGAGTTCAAATAAATGAGAGCACCAATGATACGAACTCGTATCAGATAGGGAAGACTCAGAGCGTTTTCGAGCTCTTGAGAATATGGGACGAGGAAGAAGAAGAAGAATTGAGGCGAAGAGGGAATCGGCGAACCGAGAGGGGAGAAGGAATTAGGGTTTTGAGTTGTTTATTGATTGATTATTATAAAGGAGTTACATCTCTAAATATAGGAGACAAAGTAACCCTAGCTAACCCTAAACCTAACCTGACGGTTCAATAAAAGCGACGAGAGAAAGAACCGTAAAGAAATCTCGAAGGAGCTTATAATTTCGTTCACCTAATAAAACCTAGATTACAATATAATAATAATAGTAATATTAATAATAAACTAATAAATATATAATCTAATATCCTACTATATAATCCATAACATAATATCACAAGACAACAACCAAAGGGTAGCCGGAGCAATACACGGTACACCTAGTACCCCCCCCCCACCCTAATCCTCACAACCAAATTTAAACCCCCATTAGAATAATAAAACATTTCCCTTCGTCCCTATATAAATTACAAAATGAGAATTACGATGTAAAATTACATAATTTTTGAAATCATTTTATTTACAAATTGGCTCATTAATAAGAAAAAAAATTACATATTTAAAAAAGTATGTCCAAATTTCTACAAAAATAAAAGGTGACAAGAATATTTTATTTTATCCAATAATTAATGAAAACGCACAAATAAGCAATAATTATTAAGTAAGATTTTTTAACGTCCTTTTTGTACTCACATAGTCACATATACTCCATAGAAGATCTTTAATAAGAAATACTTCGTATAACTCTCAAGGATAATTTACCTAAATAGGACTAAAACATAATGACTTTATCAATATAGGACCATATGTTTTTAATTAGAGAATGTTTTAATTAGAGAATATCATTTTGAATTAGGTAATAGCCAAAAGGGTAAATAAAGAGTAAAATTAAATACTAAACAAGAATGAAATTTTATTCTCTTAAAATTTTGAAATTTTTTGAAATTTATTCAACAAATATTCATAATTATACTTGTAACAACCAAACGCGTGTAACCCAAATTAATGAGTTCGCGACCTGAATTGCTACTAAATTGGTATTCGAATATATATATATATATATATATATATATATATATATATATATATATATATATATATATATATCAAAGTAAATTCTAAATTTCTCTAGATTTATATTAAATATAAAACATTGGGGTACTAATTTTTTATAAACAAATCTCAATCAAATAGTTTTTACAATATTTTTAAATAACTATTGAACCTGGGAATTTGTCTACATGAGAGTCTAAGTTTGACTGATTGACTATTAGGCTATTAGGTGTGTATCCCCTCTTTTTCTTCAGAGAATCAACTTAGGCTCCTTCTGTTCAACTCTTTTTCTGAACTGATATGCTTTTTTGTAATTCTGATCTGATCTGATCCGATTGAATCTGATCTGATCTGATTGGATCTGATCTGATTTGATTAATTATGATTTGATTTAAAATTCAAATCAATAATTTGATCTGACTTTATAATAACTTTTGAAAATTGTAATGATAATTCATATTATAATATAATCAATATTTTTTTATTTTATGGTTACTTTTTTTTAAAATAAAAATTAGTTAATTCATATAGTAGAATAATATTAGTTATAATTTAATAATATTTTTTATTTTATGAATATTTTTTATTTTCACTGTATCCATTTGTAATTGGAATTCTACTCGAATATTTTCTCCAAAATTTATTCTTAATTCAGTCTTTTCAAATATTAAAATTAGCGTGTGCTTTGTACTACGAAACTTTTTTTATGATTAATATAACACCATAGATATAATAGTTGTTTTCGTTACACTAAAATATACTCCGTATATGAATATCAAATGTTAATTTTATTTAAGTCATGATCAACGGTGATCAACTCAAATTACAAGTAGCAATAAAAATGTATTTTAAAAGTAAAATTAGATTGACATTGTCAATGTATATTAAAAATAATTTTTCGACGTCTAATAAATAAGGATTACTTTCTCAGTTTTCTATTTAAGTTAACGTTTATTCTTTTTCATTTCTAAGAAAAAAATTGTGCTTCATATCATTTTATTTTTCTCTACATAAATTATAATCGCACAAAATTTTCATTTTTCCCTTTTTATATTTTCAAGAGAGATTAATCTTTTTAAAAGAATCGTATCAAGTGAAACAAGTAAAAAGTGTGGAATTTAAAAAGTATGGAGTAATAACGATAATGATAATAATTCCTAATAATAATAATAATAATAATAATTCTGGATTATATCTGATATGATTGGATCTGAACTAATTAGATCTGATCTGATTTTAATAAGAATAAAAAAAATTAAAAAAAATAAGTTGAACGGAACGTGCCTTAAAGTCACATCTTTCAAGTGCAAACGTATTGAGGTAGAAGCATGAAGAAATATGTTGTGTAAGTAGTCTCTTTTCAGTTATGTTGGTTTTAAGTTGTACCCTGAGTAATGTTTTAGGAGTCTGCAAGATTTTTTTGGACTTTCAAAATCTGAGGATATTCAATCTAGATTTTAAGATGCTAAGGAGTGTGATTCCCCATTATCTTTGCCTCCGTTTCTATTTTGATTACAAAATAGAAATTACGATGTAAATTCTCACGATTTTTTAAATCATTTTATTTAGAGATTAGTACATGAATAAGGAATAAAAATTATATATTTAGAAATTATGTCCAAAGTTCTACAAAATAGGAGGTGACAAAAATATTTTATTTTATAAAATAATTAATGAAAACATACAAATAATCAAAAGTTATCGAAAGGAGAGAGAAAATAAAATTGTAATCAAAATAGGGATGAAGGGATTAAATTCAATCAAATAGTCACAACCTTTGAAAACTGAAAAAAATAAAAATAAAGAGGTTATTAAAAAACTAAAAAACCGAAAAAAGGTACAAAAAATTTAAAAAATAAAAACGAAAAAAATTCAAAGAAAAAAATAAACATATGAAGAAGCAGCAAAAAAGGGGGAAAGAAAGCAAAAAAAGAACTAAAAGAAGCAAAAAAGGAACGGGAAAGTCGGGAAGAACGGCGTGCCCGTCCCTCCGTCCCGCGTCCTGCGCCGGGGGGGGGGGTGGTGTTCGGGAGCCATACGGGATGGCCTAAAGGGAGATGTGGGGGAAACGAGGCTTCAAAAATTACACCCCTAAAGAATGGGCGCCAAAAACACTCGTCACGTTTGTCTCCTTCGCGCGCAGAATCCCAAGATGCCGTCCGTACATTGCTATATTTACGGATACAGCCGCAACTCTTCCCGTCAAGCTCCGTTCCCAGAAGATCCCTCCGGCCGTTCTACTTCGTTCGAGAACGGAGCTTTAAGATGCCAGTTCTAGCCGCCCGTCGCTCACCTAGACTCGCAGGCGGGATCAGAGCATCAGATCCGGTGCCGGTCGGTGCCGAGATCGGAACTTCTACTCCCCGGAAGCACAAGTTGGGATCCGAATCCTATTTATCAAATGGTGCCGTCTCCTCTGCTCCCCCGTCGGCAGATGCGTCTCCAGCAAAATGGAAGTCGCCTAGGCGATGCCTCCTTGATAGTCCGAGCAGTCCAGTTAAAGTAATTGTCTTTTCCTCGAATTATGTGGATTGTTCTAGATCCGAAACCTGCAGATGAAGTCTAATTGATTGGTTTTGCTACTGATTACAGGGATCTGGGGAGAATTTTGGTGATAAAATGATGAAATTGAGTAAATCTCCAGTGAAAAAGAGGTTGTTGGAAAGCTTCAATGAGAAACCGATCTGGAATCCGATGGGTGAGTTCAGATCTCTTAACATTAGCTTATTACGGGAGTATTTATTTAATCTAATCCATGGAATAAGATTCGTGATTCAGTTCAATTTAACTAAGCAATTACTCTTTTCAACTGCATTTATTTGTCCATTTTTAATAGACCCCGAGCAATTGAATGCGGTGAAGGAGGTATTACATGTATCTACAGCCCCATCAGCCATAGTGTGCCGTGAACTTGAGAAAAATAGGGTTTTGGAGTTCTGCAAGCAACGTGTTGAGCAGGAAAGGGCTGGCAGTTTGTATGTTTGTGGATGTCCAGGAACTGGAAAGTCGCTCTCCATGGAAAAGGTCAAAGAAGAGTTAATTGATTGGGCTACAAAGGTACTGTAATGCACTTGTGTGCAGTTAATGCAGTAGATTTGCAGTCTTTATTACTAAATGTTGCTCGCCGTTTTGAATTTTATAGTGGTTTGTGTTAGAAAAAACCGAACCAACAGTTTGTTTTGGAACTGATTTAGTTAGTGTTATAAGATTAAATGCGTATTTAGGGAACTTATTTCCGGCTCAATGGCTGATGAACTGTTAGTACAAGAACTGATGAACCTAACACATT